TTATTTAAATAATTATCATTAAATTGCAGACAATGTAATACTTTGTGCAACGCGCGTGGAAATTTAATTTTCGAGCGACGCAATGCAGGTCTCATCAAAGGATGAACGCACCTGCTGCTAATCCAAGCACGTTCCTCCTACGCGCGGAGGATAATCGCGCAGCCGTCCCTTGATCATTGTCATACGAATTTTCATCTCTCTGCGCCGAGAGACACATACCGAATCTACTTCACGGGCAAGAGACGGCAAACGACATAAATGCCCCGATCTACCCCTCTCTCTCTCTCTCTCTCCTCCGCTCTATATCTCGATGAGAGAAATCTCTCTCTCTCTCTCTCTCTCTTCCTGCTTTCGTCGTCGTGGCAATCAGATTGAATGCGCGTCATCATCGTTCTCGTCGTCATAGTTGGCTTCCCATTCGTTCCCGGATTATTCCCTTCTTACTGTCCCTCGCTCTTTCTCTCCCTCTCTTCCCGTGTCTCCCTTGGTGATGAGAAGGTGAAACGGTCAAAGGGGAGGTGAAGAAGGGAGAGAGCGGTCTGATTGCGAGCGACGAGGGGAAGCCGGAGCCATGCAAATTTATGAGAACGAAAAAAAGCGAGAGAGCGTGTACGCAGAAGGAAAACAGCTTGTCGCATTTTGACTGGCGGCGAGTCCCACGGGGAAAGATATAAGTGCAATCGCGTATATACAATCGTGCGATGGGAAAGTCATTGATCCCGGTAGTAATTGAACGCGTGTCCAGAGCGACGACAGGCCGGCGGCATCTAACTCGATACATTAGTTCTCCGGATAACTAGACAGACTAGATGGACTTCCGACTAATTTGTAAAGAGAGGGTCGAATCCTCACGCGCGGTTTTCTCGAATCAGAGTACGCAGGGACTTAATCACCTCTTGTCTGGCTTCGCCAGGATGCTCCGCGGCTTCCGTCTCGTGCAGATGTTGCTCGAGTATCGAGCAGCATGTATATTCTCGTATTTTTTCAGGTGCGTTAATCTAGGATGTGTGAGATGAATCTTTAAGATCTCTGTTTCTCTCTCTTTCTCTTGCGATATTTATCTTTCTCTACCGAGCTATTTCCTGTGCTCTTGATCCGTTATTTTTATTCTTCTAGGTAATTTTTAGATATTAACCCGAAACTGTATTATTCGTTTTAAATACTTCGAAATGACTTCTCTTTATTTTAGTTTTTGCCAAGCTTCATTACGAAGCTATGTATAGTCAAAAAAATATTAGTTTCACATTTTTATCTACATTTCGCGAAAATCTGCATCATATTTGTCACGAAGAATAAATTCCTAAAATATTTTCCGAACCTGATATATTCCTCCTAATATTGCATAAATGTACATTAAAATATTTTTCTCTAATATGAAAGGTTACGGTAACCGATAGTACCGGAGAATATAATATTATATTACGAAATTGTTTGAAATTTGATAAGAGATCTGAAGCTTAAAGATTGATGTGCATATCGCAAGATAATCCAGATATCGAAATATATTACTGCCGACAATAATAATAAGAGATCCAGTAAATATCGTCGCTAATTCAATATTCGATTTCAATATCCGTGAATTCGTCAAGCATCCATATGTGCGGTATATTTTTAGACTGTTATTTTGATTTCGCCACGAGCCTCGCTCTTAAAACTGCCATCGAAGCGCCAGAGCGATTGACCCAGATATCATGGTCCGAATGGAGTTTCCTTTATGGGTGGCGAAATCGCGAAATCAAAGGAAGAATTTCGAAACACTTCGATATGTACACATTCGTCGCAACAAAAGCAACCCTGGCGAAATTGTCGACGAGTAATATTTTGCGTAAACAGATATTCCTAAAATCGCCAACGCCAAATTGAAATTTTCGCTAAAAGAAGAATTATCGATTTCGAATCGATCGGAAAAATCGAGATGTACCGAGGCGACATTTGCATCGTAGCACTACATATGGTACGCGCAAATTAGAATACATAAATTAATTACACGGTGCTGTCCAATTCCTAAAACATCGGTAGAATCGCCGTGAGATATTTCGGAACGAATTCACTCATCTTCGCACGCGAGTTCGTTTACGTCTTATCGATTCACCGGTGAATTACAGATGCGTGCCCGGAGCGTTATTTATGCTAATGTATGTAAGATACTGAGTCGAAAGCACCATGTTGCCGCAGTATCAAGACATACGGCATAAAGTACCGTTCACGAAAGAATTAGCGCCGTTACAGTGCATCAGAAACGCGGAATAAATCGGGATAATGGGCATAAGAAAGGCTAATGGAATTATTAGTTTATTTTAACTTTTGTCTCAAAACTTGACAAATTTTAATTGATTCTAATAAAGGGGGAAAGAATTTTCTCTACTACAGTGCTAATTGTTTCTATAAATGATGTGCAAAAGATACGGCTGGACAACAATAAAAATTCTGTAGCGCGGCTACACAGTCGTAAAATAGCACTATAAATTCTTATGCAAACAGCACTTAAGATGCATGGATACAATGTATTAAAATCACGCAGATCCAATCAGTCGATGCGCGTCGTGTCTTAAATGTCTTACACCTGAAATTATGGGTGTAAATTGCACACGCCCGCGAATGTATCGATTCTTACGTAATTCCTCACCGCACCTTGCATACGAAAGTCGAATTCATGCCGCAATTTCGCGACGATAATTTCACCCGCACGTCGAGCGCGCAATAAACATCGACGTGAAAAAAAAAAAAGATTGATTGTTACCAGGGTATATACAGAGTGTTTCCGCTTGCGCTCCGAACAATCTCTGCCTGTGTTTTTCCTCCTCTACAAGCTACTCCCATAAATATCAATTAACGCTCGATTAACTTCAACTGATATATATATTTACGGTAAGGGTCCCGTAATTTTCTTCTCTTTCTTCGATCCATAGAGACGTACACACTCGACACCCTGTATATATATATACTGACTTGTACTCGTATCTCATGTTTACCTATGTATATATTTAAAATAATTATCAGCTCGTGTAGATGTGTGTGACAGACGACGTTACTACTGCTACCCATAACAAAGAAATAAATAAAACTCCGATCGGGACCACGCTCGTCGCCGAACCGATATACGCAAATATCAGGGGATGGGCCTTCGTATTTACATTTTACATTTCCGGTTAGATGCGTGCGATCGAAACGGCACGGAAATTGGGGAAAAAAATGAGCGTGACTACGATGCAGTTCGCTTGTTTCGGCAGAACCGGCGAGACGTCTTCGCGCGACGTGTCATTTAGAGTGCGTTGCACTCTGTTTACTGTTCTTCCTTTTTTTTTTCCTCTCCCCTAACGACGAGACGAGAAAAACAAACAGCGCCTCCGAGAGAAACGACAGACAGATAGTGCGTATACGCTGTCGAATCCCGCGAATATATCGGCCCGCGATCTCGATCATCGCTCGCGCGCCTCGATGGCGACGTTTATCAGGAGAGCGAGATTTCCCATCAGGAGGAGATACAGTGAGTCCGCTCTTTTTTCTCTCTTACCTAGGGTTGCCACCTTTTTTTAAAACAAATAACGTATGTAACGCCTTTGAGAACGAAAAAAAAGTACGTTAATTACCTCCCTTCATTTCCCTTCGCGATGATCGATGAGGACGACTTTCCTTTCCGCGATCGTTCTCGTTTAATTATTGAGTTCTCGGCGATCTGCTCTCTTTCGCTCTCTGTCGACTCGCCGATTATCCACGCGAATAATTAATGACCGGCCGCTACGTGCGTGATCTTCCGTGTACGCAGCGTTTATGTGCATCTACGGTACACGCGAGATCATCTTGCTCCGAAATGGACCGACCCGCGCACGCAGTTGCCGTCAAATTACCCATATTTACGATGTCGGGTCAAATCTTTCTTTCGAGCCTGCGGCACTCAACTTTCAAAGCCCTTCCCTTTTCTCTCTTTTTTAAATAAATATATAATTTAATAATTATATTTAATTTATAATTTGGCAATTTTTAATATTGCATATATTTTTAATATTGCACATATACGTATACAACTACGTGTTAAAACAAGGGGATTATTATATAAAAGTTTAAAACAAGGGGATTATTATATAATTAAGGAAATATTTCTTCGAGTATTCTTATCATCTAAAATAACTAATATTTCAAAATTTTTTCAGATATGCGTTTGAGTTTTGATTAAAAATAATTTTAAAATGAGTGAACACGTGTAATGCTTTAACTTTTTTAATCATTGTAATTCTATTATTATTTTGAATGTTATAATTTAATTTGTTATCACATATCCTTTGTATTTTTATTTATTTATTTTTAATTGACATCTTGAATCTCTCAATTTTAAGAAGGCCCTCCTCAATTTATCGATGATTGCTCTCTCAGATCGATACTAGAAACATTTATAATATAATAATATCAGTTTTCGAAACATTAAGTGATTTATTTGTGCGATATTTTAAAGAAATCTTTTATCTCTCGACGAGTCGAGCAGCGAGAATATTACGTAAGCGGCATTATGCTTTTACGAGGCTGTATTTCAACTGTGCAACGTCAAAACTTCCGGTTTCACAAAACAAAACAAAAAAAAAATGTCGAAAACGGTTACCATCGCTCTCGTCGCGCGCGTATATAATACATGATTCTCCCGCGGCTTATTACGTGATTCCGCACAATTGCATAATGAAACACCCGGGCAGGGGAATGAATGAATGTCAGATCCGGACCTTGATTTCCGCGGACGATTTATAACGATCTTTCGTTTCACGATTGCACACAGTATTCAAATTCAGCCGTCGCATCGAGGCGAGAAAAGTACATACATCGTCATAAAACCTCGTATTTATTATCTACTAATTATTTTCTCTTGCACGCTATTCTAAGCTTTTTTCCCCCTTAATTGTCTGTTAACGCATCTCAGTAAACCGTATCTCCTATTAACGTGATTTACGCGCATCGTTAAATACTGTTTTGCGAATCCAAAATCACTCACGTGTGGAAACGTTACTTTTCAGGTAAATCCCCGTTCTTCCCAAGTCTGGAGGAGCAAAGTGGTACCTTGCTGGAAGATCCGAATGCGCCGAATCAGCTGGACGGCGTCGGCGTCGGGGTCGGTGTCGGCGTCGGCGTCGGTGTAGGCGGCGGAATAACGGCATCCCAAGCGGCACCGCTTTCATCGCCGAGCCGGAGCAGTCCGCACAGCCAGGGTAGCGAAACCGGCGAACGTTTCTCCAGGAAAGTCTTCGTCGGCGGACTGCCGCCCGACATCGACGAAGGTACTTTGATCGTATCATATTGGTACAGTGGAATTATTATCGTGTAGATGAGATTATACATATATGCGCATTTTTTTATAACAGATGAAATCACAGCCAGTTTTCGCCGCTTTGGCCCGCTGGTCGTAGACTGGCCACACAAGGCAGAGAGCAAATCCTACTTCCCACCGAAGGGCTACGCGTTCCTGCTTTTCCAGGTATATTATATACGTATACGATGTTTTCAAGTCTTTCCGCTCTCCTCTTCTTCATTATTACAGAGACACTTGAACTGGTTATAGAAGACTTACTCGAATTTCATGTGATGTTATTCGATATTTCAGGACGAGGGCTCGGTGCAGCAGTTGATAGACGCCTGCATCCAGGATGAGGACAAGCTCTACCTGTGCGTGAGCTCGCCCACGATCAAGGATAAGCCCGTGCAAATCCGACCATGGCGATTGAGCGACGCTGATTTCGTGCTGGATGCCTCCATGCCGCTCGACCCGCGAAAGACGGTTTTCGTTGGCGGGGTACCGCGACCGCTCAAGGCCGTGGAGCTCGCCATGATTATGGATCGGCTTTACGGCGGTGTCTGTTACGCCGGCATCGATACCGATCCCGAGCTCAAGTATCCCAAAGGAGCCGGCCGGGTTGCCTTCAGTAATCAGCAAAGCTACATAGCTGCCATCTCGGCCAGATTCGTACAGCTGCAACACGGCGATATTGACAAAAGGGTACGGATATAGAAAAATTCTAGTTACTCGTATCTTTTTTTACTATAAGAGAACTTGAATGGATAAGATCGGTACAATAACGATAATTTAGAACACGAATGGAAAAAGCAAATATGTGAGCTTTTTCGTTAGGTTATTTATAAAGCGTACAATTACTTTTTACAAATCACAAGAGCTTGCTTTTTTCTTATTCTGAATGCTTCGAGTTTTTTATTTGCTCTCTTTTACTAATCAAATTTTTTTTTCAAACAGGTCGAAGTCAAACCATACGTTTTGGACGATCAAATGTGTGACGAATGTCAAGGTCAGCGCTGCGGAGGTAAATTCGCACCGTTTTTCTGCGCCAATGTCACCTGCCTACAGGTATCCTTTCAGTTATCATTTTTCTAACATACAACTCATTGTTATTATCAAATAATAAAAAAAAAACGCTATGAAGTGAAAGCGTGACTCAAATTTTCGATTAATCCAAGGCTAAAGTTTTAAGATTTCTACATGATGAAAGTCAAAGAGCAACTTCGTTAAATTCAAGTTTCACATTTTATCTTCTTCAGTCATGCACTTCAAAATTAAAATTATAATTTTTGCATAACAAATTAAATAAAAGAATTTATTGCTAGTTTTGAGCTATAAATATTTTATTAAAT